ATAAGGATGGTGTCCAGGTCCTGGCCATGTTAAAACGCGTTGAGTAGGTGGGAAGATATATATACCTTCAGCTTGTTTTCAGTCACCAAGTTTCCTTGGCCAGTCTTCTCAATCCATCCGAGAACCTCTTTCTCGTCGGCTTCGGTTTCTCCAATCAATTCCTTTCCGTCGCGCGTCACGGAAAGTACTAGTTCCTTCACCGCCGGCTGGAGCTTGGATACGGTAGCTTGGAAAGACATGGGTCGAAAACAGATGGATATCGATGACCTGAGTAGAAATCGATGGACTGCTATTCGAGTCAAAAGGAAAGTTGCCATTAGATATAGAGATTCACGTGACTGAATTGACAATATTTCTCCACTGTCGCACGTCGAGCCGCTGAGCCTTTACTACTCCAGTCTTGCTCCAGTCTCAGGTACGCCGACTCCCTTCAAATGAAATTCTCTAATACTTGAACTTAATCTCTTCTATTAAGACCTTTACTTTCCTGAATTCCACACTGCGAATGCCAACGCTGGAACCGACTCTTCTCGACATTAATCGCAGGTTGCACTTCGCCCAACGATGTAATTCGGACTTGGGAGGCATTGGGGAGACACCGCCTCGAGTCTCGACGCATTCTCGATCCTGTCTACAACGTTCATTAGTAATTGCTCCAAAGAGATCGAGTCATATCCACTTGCTTACCGTTGTTTCTAAATTCTGGCATTTCGAAGGATGTCTAGAACATTCTCCCAAATCTGTGCAGTATTTAAAGGTGCGCAAGTCTAACCTTCCTCACACCTAATCACGCAATGTCGCTTGCTCGTCAATTCCTCCGCGAAATGCGCCCGTTCTTCCGCCTGTTGGATGACGTATCCCTTGCACGTCGGAATCCTCAATCATTCCTTGCGGCCATACCACAGTTCGGTGAACCTTTTTTCAATGACACAGCCAGCAGGCCTGCTCTCGATATTTCCGACAAGGGAGATAAATATATCGTTGAAGCTGATCTGCCAGGCATACCGAAGGAAAATGTTCAGATCCGAATCGGTGATGACGGCCAAACGATCACTATTGAAGGCAAAGTCGAGGAAAAGGGCAATCAAACATCGACCACGGGGTCCGTCGAAGAATCCAATGCGGCGCAGTGTCAGTACACTTTTCTTCTCGCTGAGTTTCATCCTTACAGCCTGTTGTTTCGACAGCCACTGATGCGTCCACCACGGCCGTAGCCAGACCCGAGTCTTCTACTCAAATTTCAACTGAGCGTCCGTTCACTAGAAGCCTATCGTTCGCCAGAACTGTATGGCTGCCTAGGCCAGTCGACGCGAAGAATGTGACTGCCAGTATGAACAATGGTGTCTTGACCATTGCTGTGAAGAAGGCCGACGACAAGGGAAGCGTTGTAGTGCCTATTGATTAGGGCATGGGATATTATAACGAGTTCTTGCCACTGCTCACTGTATCATACCATGTACATTTATTTTTTCCACCCTTTTCTTGTACCTGATAACAGAATTTGTATATGTAACAACATAACTTATGATCTGAAATTTCAGCAAACGACAGGCGCGCGTGGATAACAAACGTGACCGTGAAGGGTGGCAAAATCCCACAGGACTGAGGGGAGCGCCTCTTTGCCCGGTCTCTGACCCCAACACTGACTATTCTTCTCTGCATCAAACGGCCACGTCAACTTCCTCTTTCCTTCCTCCCTAATTTCATGGCATCACCGGCTCACATTAATGGCTTGCTACCATCCCCACAGCCGCAACTGGAACAAGAAATGCTGGAAGATTCTGATGTTGAAGCCGAACTTGAGGTTGACGAGCTGGATTCTGATTCCGATCCTGAAGCCGATCCAGCCAAACCAAATGCACGAAAAAACGGGTCCTCCACAAAACCAGGAGAACGCATTCCCGGACATACGCTACTTCCCGCCGTCCGTCTGGAGAATATCATACAGGCCGATGGTGCGCGCGCAAGGCCTTTTGGTATGCCTTGGGAGCTCACAATTTTCAGGCGTCACGGGCAACATGGCTTTGTCGAAAGAAGGCCTATTTGTCCTCTCAATTGCAACTGTAGGCGTTTCGACAGGAACCATAATACGCTCCACTGAGCATACTTATTCCAGGAAGAGTTCATCAAACGCTTGATTCAAGCCGCTCACCGAGAAGCGAGCGCACATAGACGAAATCAAATCAATTATCCGGACATGTGTATGTTCTGCCAGCATTTTTCATTATCAATGTATATTAAACGTCCATCCAGCGGCAACTGTGCAACAGTATCAAGAATTCATGATTCTAGCTGGTTGGTCATTCTGATCCAGGCTCATCTTCGTCGTCCTGATGTATCATATACAGAAACTATCCCTCCCCCCGTTACTCTGTCGGACGCGTTCATCTTGCGTCAAGACAAGGAAAGAGAATTACTCGAAGACAACCCTGCTTTGGCGGTCCCGTATAGTCTGTTGCCCTCAACTCAACCTTCGCCAGACCCAGAACCATCGAACTCAAATGCAATTCCTAAACCCCAGAAGAAGAGCCGAGCTTCGCTTGCCAACGGCAAAGAAAAAGACAAGTCGAACGGGACGGCCAGCACGAGTTCCAGCGCCAGACGCCGACCGAAGAAAACGCCTAGGACCGACCCTGAAGCGCCTTATACAAACGTGAATGCGCCTCCACAGGAAGACCTGCAGTGGCCTGTTCACAACGCTGGGCCAAATGGGCACAGCGAAGAGTTTACTCAGAATCACCAGCGCAGATCATCACGCAACGGGATCTCCTCCGCCTCTGCGTCTTTGCCGCCACCCCCTCCAGTAACGACAAACGGTCACCCGGTAGACTTCTCGCAGCCTCAGCCTCCGCAATATACACCAGAGGGTGGATACGACCTGGATTCCATACATTCCCCGCCGCATGAGCCCGAATCTCGTTCTCAGACGCCACCGTATGGAGCAGGCGGACCTTCGTGGCCTGGCCAATTTACTGGCCCTGCTAGTGGGTTTCTCCGTGGCTCCGTGGCTCCATATGCACGCGCCCAAAATCCTGGGCGCACCATCTACTCCCAGACCAACCGCCCCGACTGAACAAAGACGTCCCATTGTATTGTATTGTCCTACGCTGTTTAATGATGAAAGACGAGGGCCATAACCAACGTATCTTAGCTCCGTTCTTTCCTTCTTCGATACATTAGCTTTCTCCTATACGGTGACCTTGGTCTGGCGTTTGTCAAGGGCGGGGGCAGATCTGATCTATACCCATATTTGGAATATGGATCATTTGGAATTACCGATTGCCATGTCTGCCCTATCGCAATGCTTATCGTCTTGAGCAAGTACTCATTAACCATGGCTTCTGCAGGCACTTTAGATACTCTGCCCATCATCGACATCGCGCCGTTTCTGAACTCGGATCCAGCGGACGCCGATAAGCGTGCTGCAACATCCGCTGCGCTGCACGCCGCGTGCGTCGAATACGGGTTCTTCTACCTGAACATCGACGCATATGTCGACCGAGCAGAGCCCGAGGAACTCACTCGTCTAGGCAAAGAGTTCTTTTTACTCCCGCAAGAGGAGAAGAACAAGCTAGCGCTCAGCAACCAGGATTATGCGCGAGGTGCGTGCCTGCTTTGGCGGACTGTCGCCTACGATAACGTGATTATGCCGCAGGATATGCCAAACTGAATGAAAACGTCACAAGTGGGAAAGCAGATGCCCATGAAGGGCTCGATTTGTACCGGCCTGTGACGAATCCGGACAAGACAAAGCCTGTCTGGGGCGAAAATCAGTGGCCAGAGGTCCCTGGGTTCAGAGAGAAATACGAGATATGGGTGGAGAAAATGAAGGCATTGGGGCTCATATTAATGGAGGCGTTGGTGGCTTTTTTCGGGAGTAAAAGTATGATTTCTCAAGGATCGTGCAGAATGTCTATAGGCTTGGGTTTGACGCGAGAGGAATGGAACGACCTCCGCAGTCAGGTCGATGACAGTTTTTGGGTAATGCGGGTGATAGGTGGGTCGTACGCATCGCACCCTTGGTGAATGTATGCCTGATATTCCAAAGGTTATCCTCCCCTTCCGAAGGACCATGATGGCGTCTCTTGCGGTGCACACAAGTATGTTGATTGACCATCGCTGATGGAAATATACTCATTACTTTTTATCTTTATTATATACAGGGACTACGGTTGTTTGACGTGCGATTACTTCTCACATTATTTTCCGTCACTAAAACCCTTCCTTGTTCAGATTTTTGTACACAGACCCGACGCGATCTGCTCTGCAGGTTTTCTTGCGCCGACCCGGCACGACAGTGATGGACAAAACTGGGCTTCCTTTGGAGCAAGGGACGGAAGAAGGCATCTGGATCAACGCCGACCCCATTCCTGGTTGCGTTGTCTGCAATATTGGTGAAAGTAGGTTACCACTTTTCCGGTCAGACCGTAATTAATCCCTGTAGTGTGGGAGATCTGGACAGATGGTCTGTATCGCTCGACTCTTCATCGTGTTGTTCACCGGGGATCTAATTATCGGTAAGATCAGTCCATCCCTTTCAACTCAGTGGTACTGATAAAATGTACAGAGTATCGTGTGTATCTGGATCTGATTCCGTCGAATGTGTGTTAATTTGGCCGTTAGGGTACCATTTTTCTTTGAGCCAAATTTCGATGCTCTGGTGAAGCCGTTCGAGTCCCAGAAAACTACGCCAACTCGAAAGGCTATTGTATATGGGGACTTTCTTGTTAGCAAAGTCGGCAACAATTTTGCTGATCCAGGAAAGGGCAAATATTAGTACTTACCGCATCTTGGATCAATGCATACCCTTATTTCTTACCCTCTGCTTTATCATCGCTATCCTTTGTCAAAATCTGACAGGCCATTTTTCATCCTCTGTCAAATAAGAGGCGGGAGTCGTCGAACTGAGGTTCTAAGCACCTCGCCTCTCCAAGTCGTGTCGAAGCAATTCAATTATTTGTTCCATCTTGAAGAGCGCCTTGATAAGAAAATTGCGTAAGCCTTCGATAGCTCAATCTGGAAGAGCGCGAGACTGTAATTGACTATCTCATATCTCGAGGTCGCTGGTTCGATCCCGGCTCGAAGGACTTTTTGTCTAACAATCGTAGGCGCATCGAAATCTGAGGGAGGGAGAGAGGACTCGGACAGTGGACTCCCTGCCACCTGGAGGAGCGTTGTTGGTGAATTTTCCTTCCCTTTGTAATGCGTGGGAATACGACGCATAGCGGCATTGCACCAAGGTGGATGATCAACATCTCGCCGAGATGACATCGCCCTCTTTCCAGTGGGAACTATTTGGAATGACGCTCAAACAAGACCTCCTATTCAAAGAAGTAATATTGAAGTTTGATGTACTTAAGCATTTCGACGTCAGAATTTAATCTTCGAAAGTCAAATAAATATTTGAAAAGCAGGATACCAAGACCCCTCAGTTAGATATCTCCCCCATCGATTTTGCATTAACGCTTGGGCGCCAATATTCTAAGGGCTCCAATTGTAGTCCTGGAGAGGTGACCAGTGTAGTACTGTCGCTGTCCTTTGCCGCCTTACGTCGAAGGTTAAGCACCAATCGCGATCCCTGTCAGCTATGAAATAAATGTCAGCAAAATAAACTAATGTCTAGACACATACAGATAGAGAGTAAATCAATATAAACCACCTAAGAATTAAAAATAGTCAGCCAGGTACACATATTTCACGAACAAAGGAAAGAGACAGACGGATTCCACCATTCATTGAAAAATACTAGAATTGAGGATAAGTCGCTTGCCATTGACAGCAGCGTCGCAACTTTGATCAGGCACAACTTTTATTAGTCTTTTATGCTTGTGGACAGCGAGCAAAATTGCTCACCAAATACAAGGAAAAAATAAATTGTTCCGTCTGTCACAAATGACACCAATACCCGGTTATTCTCTCCTACTCCGGGATTGTTGGCCTTGAAATTGAAGATGTATTTTGGAAATAGGTATCTCAGCCTGTGTAGAGTCAAGATAAATAGAGACACTATTGGACAGTGAGTGATGATCTCAGCACATTGGCTATAATGGTAGACTTACAGCTTCCAAATAATGCGGGTGTCCTGTTGCACTTGTGTCAATTTATGGGCAGAATAAATATGAAAACTCATTTCGTACCACGCCACTAGCTCTGACAGGAACAACATAGGGTCGCCCACTGAAATTCTCAAACACCCAGGACCATATGTAATGATGCCTTTATGTTCGCCTATAGTGACACGGATGGTTGTTACCAACTCCCCCTATGCAAAAGCACAGATTTGGAGTGAGCAAATAGTAGGCAGGAAGTAAATTTTTGTATACCACAGTCTCGGCTTAAAAAAGGTTTCTGTTAAACATGCTATGCACCAAAGTATTTCCATCGAGGTTCTCACCAATCCAGAGAAACCACACGAATACCATCACTGGAGATGTCTGTTAGTAAATGCTTGGTAGATGAGTGAGGAGACAACCTTTCCATGTGTTTCGATATAATGCACAAACACGCAATGTGAATATTGCACTCACTGGAGGGAGGATGCAGATAACCCCTCCGCTGTAGCGCATGTCAGTGAACAAGTGAGATAATATGACGAAGGGCAGCATACAATCCATGATACCAAGTATAGTCCGAACACCTAAAAATATGTTGTACATAAGCGTAGAACAGAGGATATTGGTACGCCCAAGGTACGCCGGTCAAGCACACATCTAGTATTGATGGACAAGTTAAGAATCAGATATTTAGATCAAATGACTTGATAGTGCTTACTTTTGATGTTGTTAGAGTAGAATTGTGGACTGAATTAAGTACCAGTGAGATCAGACATTGTGTGCATATTCACTCAAAGTTCTAAGGAGATAGAGTGCGACACGGCTTACCATAGCATTGAACCCTGAAAAATGATAAAATGATATAAGTGTACCATATCCGAGTCTGAGCCCGGTGGAGGGACAGGCGTGCTCAAACACTCACGTTATATAGACAACAGGGTAGTATCTCGAGACAATGTACAACACTTTTGGTAGCGACCAGGCCGCACTGTCTCGCACAGTTATGCAAATAAAATTATTAGCTTAAATGCCTCTAGAATCGACCAGTACGTACGCCCAAATGTATTTAATCTCGTCGCTGAACGAGAGAATCCAGTCGTACACCATAAGAGTTATGGTAGATGCTAGAGACGAGCATATCACATCATCAGTATTGGTTGTAGAAAAGATATTGAATTTCCACTTACACAAGACATAATTCAATGCACGGAAAGACTCTTCAGCTGCGACCATTTGCGGGAGACACAAGCTTACGGTACTATGAGGTGTGTAGAAGGAGATATGGCTGTATGGCGGGAATATAAGGCCAGACTGTCCGGCTATTTAAGTAATGATTGTCAATTGCGACTCTGATGAGTCTGATCAAGTGCCCGAGAAGCGTGCTTTCTGCTATAAAAAGTGATTGTAAGTGGAGTATTGCATCTGATTACAGCTATGTGGGGATAGATACTGTTTCATTTTAAAAAAGCTGCATCCCCCGAGATAAATAAACCGTAGTATCGTGGCAATCGTCATAGCCTTCATGTGGGAAATATCATGCTAGTCGCGTAAGGTCTATGTAACAATCTTCCTGGATAAGCGCCCGTGCATGAAGCTTGTTGAGTTCTCGTAAATTTAATGGTGCATTGCGAAGTAACTCTGGAATGTCATCGGATATAAACATGATTGAAACACATGACATTGACATCGCAGTCCCCTGCGAGGTTTCACTCTGTGACCAACCACAGCTTGACAGTGGCAACAGCGGGAGTACCAATGATGGGTCATGTGTATGCCTCACTTGAGCAAGCTTGAGCATTGTGACCGGTATGTGTATCAAAGCATTGCTTCGATCATGATCTGACACTGACATACTGTGGTAATGACAATATGCCACTATTCAAGATTCAAATGTCAGCGCAGGCAGGCGCAGGCGCATTCATTGACAGGTCAGGATGTGAAATCCATGCAGAATAATGGAGAGAGGAATATAATTGTGCATTATAATCAACAGCGGGTAACAAGCAAATCATTGACTACTGACAGAGTCGGAGGAGTTACAGAAAAGGAAGATTAATTTCTATATTTAGGAATACTGACCCGACAAATGCCGCGGTACTTATATGTATCAATTTTTTCTTTTGTGGAAGTTGTCTTGTGATTGTCCGTCCTTTAGTTCATAGCCCCTAGCTGCAACCATTTTCTTTAGCACTCAGGGCAAGCTCTGGGTCTGGCGCTCAATTTGCAGTTTTCCTTGTAGCCAGTAAGGGAGTTCCGTCGTTCTTGATTGGTGGTGGAGCAGTGACTGACCATCTACTTATATGTGCAGCTTTGCTTTGAGAGAGCGACGACGCAAGGGTCGAAATGTACGTCCCAGGTTGCTAGCCGTATCTTCAGGTAGTGAACCAGGCTGTGGGAGGCACTTTTAATTTGCGTCCATAGTATCGGACTCAAAGCTGTGACAAGTTCTTAGTAGACCTCAAGTTAAAGGCTGTCGGCAGGGTGTAGTACGTAGACACTTGAAAGGTGAGCGGCGTGTGAGGGGCATGGTGCAGGTGAAAGATATCATTTTTCACTGCGCCAGTGCAGGGAGATGTGTGTATATTTGGGCGGTCATTTACAAACTCGGCAAACATTGAACTATTTTGTAAAGCTGCAGTCAAATCACTTGTGGGATGCAGCGCCGAGTGCTCTGGGAGAGATTAAATGATCATCAAGCATAACAAGACACTGCCTTGGTTGCAAAGCAAGCGCACTGCGCGGAGGGCCCGAAGAGGCCACCTCAGTAATGTGCATTGTGTTTGCATTGCAAATGCCGCCCCTCGATGTGCAGTGCTCACTGCAAGCACCTGCTGATGACAATAAATCGGGTTCCACGTACATCTCTAGATGTTTTCACGGAAATGCCGGTAAAACGGCAATCAATGACAATCCCTTGCCCAGTGAGGGAGTGATGATATCATTATTGGAGAGGTTGACCAGGCCGATGATCACGATACTTGTTAAACAAAATGATTGCTGGGTCGGAATGTATGGCAACGCCAGGGTGACAAGCGCCAGAGAAGCTAAAACGGAGATCACCGACCAGTTAGAATTGTCGGGAAGCGAAATAGTAGCTCACCGGGAACTGTACCAGTGCCGAAGCCCAACCTTACGACCCTTGTCAACAAGCTATGTGTTTTCCGGTTTTATTTTCAGGTTCAGCAGTCTTAACTGTGGATTTACGGTGTCAGAACAGTCTACATATCGTTATTCGGACATACGTGGCGTGCCATGACCACGGCAATAATGATGTCACAAACGCACTACCTCCCCAGATCTACAAACTTGAAAGATATTACGGATATCCATCTGAAAGACTTCGGAAGTATTTGAACACCCACCCAACCGTCATCGATCGTCCTCGACACATTGGTTCCTAGGATTCCGGAGATAATTCCGGCCTTCCTGGCCTGATAGGCTGTGGCCTGTGACAAGAAACATCTGCGCACACCGCAAGGTCAACACAGAGGGTAGTAAAGACTATGATTTTTGTGAACCAGCGGTCGTTGAGAAATGATATCCAATACAATTCTTTAGAAAAGGTACCATGAACTTCATATTCTAGTTAGGCAAGATAAAATAGACACCTTACAGATTTGGACGGCGAGGACGCCAAAAACCATCCAGTTCAAAGAGGCCACTCAACTGCGATCACGGCGGTTTGACTTAATAAATAACAGCATTACCGGGAAAATATTGGACTTACAGCACGTTCACCACTTTGCGGACAGATTGCAGTAGACTGGTGTTTCATTTGTTTATTACGCACAAGTCACCTCCTAACGCGCATGCGCTCTAGACCCATGTCCGCCGACCCCTCAATCGCCAGAGTGCCAAACTTGCATGTCTGAGAGAGCGACGTCGCTGGTCGGTGCCCTTTCAACTGACCCTGTTCATCATTCTCAGAGTGTCAATATCATTCAAGGGCGGGTTTCTCGCTAATTTGTTGGCGCGAAATTGTTGATGCAGCGCACTTCCATAGCAGAAAGCTCCGCAAAGACCGTGCATGGGTA